TCTGGAAAGCTATAGACATACTCATCCAAAGAGGACCCAAAGCACAATGTCTTCTCCAGCTTCATCGTGAGTGGGTGCCGTGAGGTTCTCCTATGTGTACTATGCATCCGTGACCTGGAGCTTCGTGGGCTGCGCCCTCTGCGGTTTCGGCGCATACCCGCATCTTGGCCTGTACGGCACCGCTTTCGGAAGCACCAGGCCTTTTTGGTCCGCTCTCTACACTCTAGCCGATAGCCGATAGCCGAACTCGGCATCGGCATCCTTGGCATGTGCACCCGAAACAACTGATTGCAGAAAGTAGCCTACAGACATGTGAAAGTCAACATAGTAGAAGCAGCTTCACGATTGCAGCACGCTTGCCGAGACTTGCTAATCTACACAACACCGGCTGAAAAGGGTTGGCTCCGGCGACGAATGTTGCTAGAGATTTCGGACAGTGCTCAGGTTGATGCAGGCCTGCACCGGCGGGGAGCTTCTTGGGCTCTATTTTAAGGTTTTTTCCCTTTTGGCTGTCTGCATTCCTTCATAGCTCAGCCACTGGAGCTGTTTCCGACTGATGGTTGGGCCTTGTGATCAGACGACTGCTGGGCAAGCCACAGCGACGTTTAGCTGATCTGCGGCCTTCTTTGACAGACCTGAATAAAGCGAGTTCGCTGCCCAAGGTACAGTAGAACGACTCGCCCCGCTGCCAAGGTTCTCTTATGACATGCATGGCCACTACCAGACCATCGCGCAAGTCACTGTTGCTGTTCTGGTCTCTTGGCCGTGTTGAGTGGCGCTTGTTTTCGTCGGGAACCGTAGGATGCAATCGGCTAATTCAGAACCCTCCCACCTGCAACATCCTCCTTACCTCTGACTTGAAAGTGCAAAGGCTACACTAGTGGAAGCTTCGTTCAACTCTGCTTCGACCACCGCATTTGAATTCTTGCGGAGGTGTCAGCAGTTTGAATGAACGTTGGGAGAACCAGTTGGCGTGTTCATCGGCAGACTCCCAGTATGGCTGCAGGGGCACACGGTCGGAAGGTGAGGCAGCCCAGTAGGGCACAGTCGCAATTAAGACAAGTGAGAATTTCTCCCGGCCTGCGCATAATGCCTGTAGCATCGAGAACATGTTATCCATCGCAGGCCAAAGTGCATAAGCAATCGCCGAAGTGCTTGTCAGCTTCTTGAGTTTACAGGTCCGCATGCTGATAGAGACCGTGCTGTTGGACAAAGCGCCGAGGGATCTGGCAGTCAAGCAGCTCGAGGACCGACGTCTGCGGTTTTGCCGCCTATTGGTTGTCCTTCTTTATAGACAGACAAATCAGATGTGCTTCATGATGGCCTTATGATACGGATCAGAGGGGCCACGGGGCCGGTTTCTTGTGCCATGGCAGACGGTGTAGACTCAGGTAGGAACCTTCCCAAGACGCTTGAGTTTTGTGCAGGGTTCTGAAGCAGGTATATGATCAAGGAGAATCCGGCCATAGCTGTCTTTGAACTCACGGAGGGCTGCATCGCAGTGTTGTTCGCTCTTCATCGCTTGGTCGGTGGCTGGTGTTGCATAACCAAGAATCTCCGACATGAAAGTGTCAGGACCTGTTGGACACCATCCAAAATTCATACATGCTCTTCTTCGCGGGCAAGTGGCCAGGTCAAAGAGGGGTAAGGTTTCGCGGACGGCCCCGTGATGGAGTTTCAAGCATGTCCGTGTTGGTGGTTGATGCAAGACGAAATCCTTGAAGTGGTTTCTCGCTCATGCACATCAATGCACTTCAGAAGCCTTTGTGAATATCTACAGCCGAAGGTTTCGCTTCGGTAAGACTCGCCAGCATATTTCCCAGACTGCGAGTCTCACGTTTCTTCACCAGAAGACTCGATGCCTGAACGGACCCGCCTTCAGCTTTGCAAGGTATGACCAGATGTCGGAGAACCATGCGAAGGTTCTCAGCTGTGTAACTTGAGTGTTGAAGTTGGATGGTGAAGGTGTCAGTCATTGGTGCTTGCATGGGCTTACGCCCACGTTGCTTCCTGCACGACTCCACGCCACAAATAAAAGTGCCGAGGCATAGGGCTTCTCACTTAGAAAAAGATTGTTCCGGCTCAACAACCTGAAGCCCGCGACTCTGTGAGACTTCTTCGGGTAGGCTCGTGACATGCTCAACGCCGCCAGAGCTCTGCACGCGGAAAGCTCCCCAGCTCTCGAGGCAAGAGCTGAGCTCGTTTGTGCTCATTTCGTTTCGGAGCTCTCAGGGCGAACTCGGATTTCGTGAAGATTCGGAGTCGGGCTTTGTGACTTTGGCCTTCGTCTGTTCTGCGACCACGGAGCACGTCGAATTTGACAGTGGCAGGTTGTTCCAGGACCACGTTTGCCTTTCAAGCTCCTCGGCCTGTCTGCGTAGATCTTGTTTAGATCATGATGTTGGCCAGTCCTGGACTTGTACACACTTTGTGTGGTCTCTGGTGATCCCAACAGCTTGTGAATGCATTTGCAACCGTAAGCCGGCGGATGTGCAGTAGTTTAAAACCTGGAGTCAGAGACTGACTCGTTTTGAACGAGGCCTAACCATGTCCCCAGGCTGTACCAGGGCCTCATGAGATGTTTGTTGTGGAGAGTAGCTGCTGAGTAGCTATCTCAAGATGTTGTGAGTCAGACAGCGTGACCACAGACTTCGAAACCTTATTAGAAGTTTGCTCCTGGTCACTCAGTGTTGCACTGCGCTAACTTGAAAGCACTTCTTCCAGCCAGGAGCATTTCGCAATCTGCCCAGGCACACCCTCTATGGACAAGTCCTGGACAACTTGGATACGGGCATCTCACAGCTATTTGGACCGAATACGGCTTGGGTTTCCCAGTTTAAAAGGCTTTCACCAGCATTAGCTGGTTTTTGGTGAACTTACCAACTTGTCACAGGAAGGCGGTGGTAGAAGGACTTAGAGGTGATTGTGTGAGGTCCATGCTCGAAAAGGCGTACATGGGTCTTCTAAGTAAAGTCAAGTGTAAAGCTTTCAGCACCTGGGCTCTTTGCATGTGACCGCAAACACCGCTACACTAGGCGGAAGGCAGGTGCGGAGAACAAGATATGTGGCAAAGCCAACATGTGCCTTGCTTGTTGCTGTCCCAAGTCTATGCCACTCCTGGAATCCCCGGACACGTTTGTAGATCTGTCTCCAACTCGAGAACCCTCTCAAGCCGTACAGCCTCGCGCGGCATCTTGTCTGTCAGGTTGGGAGTGTTGGTCATCACTGCCAAGGTGCGAACCCAGCACCGTTGAGCAGCGCTCTACCAGCACGACAAGCTAATGCAAACATGTGACATCCTCGCGGCTGTGACGTGCCTGTTCTTCTGCCGGTACATATGTGCGGCTGCGGCATGAAGGGGAAAGAGCTTGACCGTCGTATCTCCGCGGTGTTTCTAGTGCTTCACATGCTCCTTCGTCGCACAGGAGTGGAAGACCGAGAAGGCGCCAGCTTTGCCTTTTCATCTTTTAAGGTTGCTTCTGCACCGCCGACACACGTTCGCATTTTATGATGTGTCATCGCATATTCCCTGTGCTCGCATCTAGATGAGGTTGCGGTTTTTTAGGCAAGAGTCGGAGTAGAGCCCATATTCAAGGCCTGCAGGAGGCAGGAAGGTGCAGTATCGTCCTGAGTCGTCACGACGGGAGCCGGGTGAATGGAGGCATGTTCTTCGTGCATAGGTGCTGGCCTGGGTAGTCGTGCTTTTTCATTCAGCTGGGAGTCAAGAAGCAGCACTGCTGTCAGAAGAATTCAAGCTCAAGTTTTTAATTGAAGCGACCAGCTATCCCTCACCGCATCAACATCCGGGTCCGAGACCAGTCTGCTGTCGGTGTACCCTTCGTGTCGACTTTAAGGGCTACTCCCATCATTCTGCGCTGGCTGATTTGGGTCGGGTAGGAGACGACACGCGAGACTCCGACAAAAGATGTTAAATGAGGCACGGGAATACCAACGACTCCCGAAGCCAGATGATGCTTGAAGCGACCGGCACGACAACCAGGAAACGGAACACTCCCTGAGACGACACACGAAATTGCGGTCGCGAAATTCTGAAATCCATCCACGGCTGGGGCTGCAATTCGTACACGTACAGTTTGTGGTCCAAGCAGCCAACCACAGGTGCGGGGCCTTCGCACGAAAGCCGGAATGTTACGAACGTACAGCTCCGCTGTGACCTTTTGCAACACAGACTGAACACATGGACAATACCTGCATAGGCTGCACACGTGTCCGCAAATTCGAAGATCAGGCTCGAATGCGCTGTCATGATCACGAATTACTGTTACCGGCTTTGGCCAGATTGAGACGGAGAAGTCCTCGGCGCGTCAAGCGGCCGAGAGCCACCAGCAGACCCAACTCACCGATCTCGCTCCCTGGCTGCAGGGCCTTTTGGCCTTTTGTTGAGCCATCCGAGCTGGTGCAATCGTAGCATGCCGTAGCTTGAATGTAGACCCTCGGCCTCGCATGGAACGTGGACCGATCCAGGAGTTTGAAAAACTCGTTTCAGAAACTCGAACGGGGCAGTGCTCCAGGTTTGGGCCTCACAGCTTCCGTAAGCCATAGCTTTAACAAAGGCACAAGGAACGCTTGCGTAGCAATAGGGAAACAATGAGACCTGAACACTGAAGACTTGAATAGCCATCAGCAATGCTCGCGCAATCGCGTGAGCCAACCTTTCGTAACATGCCTTTGGCCAAAGTTTCCTCCGTACCATGCTGTGCCGAAAGGCAGCAACGACCTCCCACAGTTTGCCTGCTACCCTGTAAGGATGTGCTTGCGCTGCCAAATTGTGGACTGATTCGGCTGATATTTCCAGAAACTAGCTGGGAACCATTCAACTGCGTTCAACACCTACAGACGGCATGTGCTGAGATGCCAAAGGCGGACGCAAGTCAAGGCGATTCACGTAGTTCCATGCAGCGGTTTGGCTGTAATTCGCATGCGCGGTCTTCGTGAAAACAACCGACTTAGGGACGTACAGCAGCCTGCTGTAAAATTGTGCACGCATCTTTTCGGTCGTCCGGGGCTACATAAGTTGGGCGAAGGGTGCTTGGGACGGACACCTCCTTCCTCTTGGTTGCTGCAGCCAATGCGGCTTCCTCCTCTGCCCTCTTTTGGTTTGTGCATTCCGCACGATTGTCTTCTTCTCGTTCCTATTACCTCTCATGCAGAACTCTCACCAAAGCAGCTAAAAGCTCCAACCAATCCAAACCTCAAGACACTGGCCTAGGAGGGACTTGACGTAATGGATCCTTCCGCTACTGGCACAGGTGGCAGGCACGGACAGGGATTTCTGTGGATGTGGGACAACCATAGACAATAGAGACAAGTGCTCCCACTTCTAGTTGCCTCACTTCGTGTTCCCGTATCAGTAACCCCAGTGCTGCTCGCCTGCGTACTAGCTGATAATAGGAGCCGGTAGTGCGCTTCTCTTTTTTCTACAACACGTCGCATTTCAAATCACCGATCCAGTCCCTTCAACCGGCCTGCTGCGAAGGCCTGGTATGCCTTAAACATGACAGCATACGGCCGGATAGGTTACGAACCACCAGTTCAATGAATCCTAACTGAGCCATCCTACATCGTGACAGACCTCTGCAGATGTAACATCCAGACAGTGGACTGTCCCATTCCAACACAGCACATGGAAGGTCGGCCGTGAAGAAGATCGTCCATGAGCGCCTTCGCTAGATCAAGACTTGGGTGTGCAGAGGGGGAATCGGAAGCGAGGATTGCGTTCGTTTAGGTGCAGGCTTGTAGGAGAGCTGTGCCATCGAAACGTCACGTAGGAAGTCTGTCTATTCGCGCAGCCAGTGGTCCCGCTCCACATGCTGTCGAAGCTAAATGAGCGATTAGGTAAGGTTAGTATACAATTACCCTTGATTGCGGGCCTAGCAGGACCCAGTGCATGCACACAGTCAATGCGGTCGTGTAAATGCATGGTCTTTTACTACTAGTTGGGCCCCCTGCCGCTGTCTGTTTCTGCCATGCTAAGGACCAGCAACGCGCCCTACATCCACCGAATCATGGAGAAACAGCGAAGCTTCCAGTCTCCTGGATGAAGAGACTTTTTTGGTGAGGTCATGTCTGCGGTGCACGAGTACTCTCGCCCCGAATCCGAACACCATCCGTTGACCGCGCCCACAGGGTCTCATCGATGACTGCCGTCGCGCGTCCGGATTCCTCAAAAGAGTGAAAGAGAGATTCAATGTCCAGCTGGAATTCTTGTGATTTGCGCATTCAAAAAACCTCCTTGTGCGAGCAAGACTGTGTACGTGTTGGCGGTCCTTGGACGGTCCAGGACGGTTTCGATTAGCGCTCCAAGCCAAATCCGGTAGCCTCACAACATAAAACTCCGGTTTTCGGGATGGTTGGTTCGGGCAAAACCAACACATACAAGGGGTCGCTTGGGCGGAATGCAGTGAATGCAGTTCTCAGCACATGTCTGATGTTGTAGCGGCCTTCTTTTTGGTGGCATGGATCGGCGGCCATGCTGGGGAAAAGCCATTCCCAGTGCGCATCTATTGTTCCAGCGGAGTTGGCATCTACATAGGGCTTGTTTTTCTGCTGTCGTCGATGTTGTCGTCGTCGCGCTGATCGATGCGGCGGAATGCAATATCAGCACATGCCTGATGTTGTAGCGGCCTGGGTTTGGGTGGCATGCATCGGCGGCCACACTGGGGGAATGCAATTGCAGTGCGTATCCTGCCAGCGTCTACATGGTGCTTGTTGTTCGGTTGTCGTCGATGCTGTCGTCGTCGTGGAGGCGGAATGCAGTTCTCAGCGCATGTCTAATGTTGTAGCATGATCTGTGACATCGATCGCCGTCCACGCTGGGGGAATGCAATTCGCGCGTGCATCTGTTGTTCGGCTGTTTAGCCAGCATATGCCAGCATCTACATGGGGGTTGTTATTCTGTTGTCGTCGATGTTGTGTGGGTCCGTGTATCGCTCACACCCGCGTCTAAGGCGTTTGGAATAAAAGCGAAACTAAGAGCCGACTTTCATGTGTCGGTGGACTCATGGCACCCATGGCTTTCCTTTTGAAGCTTATAAGAGTATCGCGAAGGTATCGCTGGGATATCGTGGCAATAACCTAAATTTCCCGAGTTTTTGCCCGAAGTGTTGCAGATAGAATCGGGGCCTAACTGCAGATTGAATTCTAAATTGCTTGAAGCCCAGCATCCCCGACATATCCTGACAATCAAGTTTACACAACTTGGAGACTACAAACAGCGTCCGCACTGTGGTTTCGCATATCTCAATCTACTCTAGATTGCAATGAAAAGCACTTGAAACCCCAGCGTCTGCGACGTATCCTGAAATTGAGCCTACGCGACTTTATGGCTGCAGACAGTGTCCACGCTGGGTTTCGCATATAGAATTGGTGCCAACAAGCGTCCGCGACATGTCCTCACAATTGAGCAATTGAGCTACCATGCCTGCTTTGAGGAGCCTTGAAGATGATATGTTGGACACATTCTCGAAAGCTGCTGGGCAAAGAAACGAGCAGGAGTTCAGTGAACTTTTCGGCAGTCAAGACAGAGAGATATTTGCTTTAGGGCAAGTCTGTGTGGCCATTTGCAGCGCATTGTGCACGAATCGGAGTGGCAGTTGCGTCACTGCTTCACAGTTTGTTAATGCTTCCGACCTCAGGCCTCCAAATACGAAGCATTTAATTTGGGTTGTTTCAACACGACATGGTCTCGCGACCACGCATCATGCGCGCAGTCCAGACTCAATGTTGCTGTGTTTCTGAAGCTACTCCTGTCTAGCCTCAACTCACGCCCAGGTTTTCGAAGTTGTGAAGGCCATTCTGAAGCACGACCAGGTGCGATGTGTAGGATTCATGTTTTGATAGTCTGGGACTTGGTGATGACGCGACAGCCGCGCCGCTTTTGAACTTCGCTTTTTGCAAGGGTTGATATGGTTGTTTTGGCGTGAGCTCTGGGCACTGGTTGACGTCGATATATATATATATATGTATATGTATATATACATATATATATATATATATGTATATATCAACTTTCAGGAGGATATCTGCAGCGCTCTCACCTGGATCTTGGTATGGCTCATTTTCCGACAGAAGTCCAGAGTATTTCGTTGGCCTGAACGATGCCGGGAACGTGGTCCATCTAATTGTTACCAGTCCGCCTTGGCCCAGCCCGCAAGTGAAGAGGGCCGACGAATTGCTCGGCTGTAACCCCGAAGCCGTGACTTGAAAGAGGCCGTAATTTGGGGTGAAGTGCCCAAGCCGCGCGGCGCAGGAGCAGAAGCTGGAGAGCTCCGGAGTGGCTTGATATCGACTTGAGCCTGCCCGGAGCGTGGGGTCTTGAGGGCCACAGGACATGTCGCTCACCAAGTTAGGCCCTCTGTGCTATTTCCATGGCAGTCAGAGCTTTGTGCGAACAACAAGGCAGACATCGAAGGTCTCGCCAACCTTGAAGGCATGCGCACGCCGCTCGGCTGCATCTTGAGGTTCGGCTGGTTTCCGAAATTGTTGGGATGCCTGCCCAAGTTCATGCGCTGAGTATGTTACTTGCAGTGCTTGGCGGTAGCTGTGGGTCCTGCATCAGGCTGGACGACGTCAACACGTTTTACAAAGACATCAATGAGTACATGGATGTCATGGAGCGGGAGGGAAGCATGGATCGTGGTGTTGCACTTCGGATGCAACCGGCAGGCCTGTTCGCCCTCTGTCTCCTGAGCCAAGTCTTGAAAATCCCGAACCAAAGATGCAGCTGCCATGGTGGCTCTGCAAAGGGTTCGGCAATCAACGGTTCGGAGCATGTGAGTTGTGTGGTTTTAGGCCTTTGTGCATTTGCACGGTATCCGTAAGTCGAGGCTATCGGGTACTGGTGGCATTTGGCGCCAGGTAGTGGTTGTGTCGCAGAAGTTTTTCTCTCTTCTTCCGGTCGAAGGTCCATAGCTGGATCGTTTCTAGGTCGCGCTGCAGGGTCCTACAGTTGATGCTGAGCAGCTCAGATGTCTTGTGGAGGCATCTTCTCGGGTTGTGTATGGTCTCGAGCTTCTGAGACACATGTGCCACCCAACATGTTGCAGGAGCGTTGCACAGTAATTTCACAGAGCAGACGCGCAAAGACTCGACCCGCCGTCTGGCATTAAACGGAGGAATCCCAAGCCTAAGCCAATGCCAATGTTGTCCCCGTAGCCATCTGAGGTCGATACCGTTGTCGGAAGCCTGCAGGCTTCGGGGCTTCGGGACTGGGTGGGGTGGATGGGTGCAGTAATTGTACGTAGTATGCGAGTGATCGCAGCGAGCAGTTGGATCATGGACAGCCACCAGGATACCCAGGAGTGCGCATGTAGCGTAAATGGTTCTCTCTTTCACACAGGCCAAGTTGTTTGTCCATGTCGTTCGGAATGTTGTGGCTACATCTTCTGGTGAAGTTGTAATTTGTGACGAGAGGAAAGCCAATCGTCTAAGCATTCCCCTTTTAAAACTCCGCCATACAAAAACGGAGCATCTTGCTGGAATCTTGCGTGGCCTGGAGAGCAATCTAATTACTTACCTAGGGTGGTGCAACACTTGCCAAAACGAAACTCAACTAAGCTACCGTGCGGTCAGCTTCACAGCTAAAGGACAGTACTTGCCACTCACTCGCCTTTCCGTCAAGAAGTGCAGTCTACTTGAGTGACGACGGTTCTTCAAGAGTACCTATACCCATTTCGATACTTTAAACTTTGCCGCGCTGCCTCGGGTGGCTTGGGTGGCAGAACTACGGAAACCGTCTGCATGCTGCGGGGTTGGTTCGAAGCTGAGGCCCGCCTCACCGTCCTCGTCAGCGCTTTGACCGCAGCCACTGCTGCCTTGGGCGAGGCCAGGTAAGCACAGTCATGGTTGGCAGGGCAGGCTGTTGCCGCCTTGGTATACATGCAGTGCATAGCATTCCGTTAGCGCTGTGCTAGCAGAGAGGCTTGACGGCCGGGTTTAGTGCCTCATAAGCCTGCGGCTCGAGGTCGGTGTCCTGTGCCTGAAAGACGCCATTTACTGAGGCGGGATGCGTTGATCATATGTGGGTTGAGTATTCTCCAACTTCGAGCATGCATGGTAGTTTGTACAACCTGTGCACACGGCAGTTGCTTTTCTGCTGCAAGTATACCATACCTAATTTACTATTATTTGTTCTTCTCGAGGGTTCCTGCAAAAAACATGGTTTTTTCAAAAATAAAGGAACTGGAACGGTCTTCGCGCTCACAGCTTCAAGGCTTCCAGGGCTGCTATCATACTCTTCAGAAGTTCGCCTGCGCATCACTTGCGCAGAGGGCTCTGGGGCCAATTTCTGGACTTAGTGCCCGGACACCTGTGAGGCTGCGGTACGCAGCCGGACCGGCACGTGGCGCGAAGCTAAGCTGGAGAGAGAGAGAGAGAGATCCTTTTGGTCTTCCAACTCTTTGGTCGTGTGGGTACTGCCCTCGTCTAGTTTGAAGCTTCAGAGCTCCTGGATGCGGGCTGCGGCTTGATGGTTGATGCTTGCGAATTTGTATCCGTTTGTCCCGGTCCCGGTTGGGCCGGGTTGTTGCAGTGCACAAGAAACATGCAGATCTGACATGTACGTGGAGAGGCGGGAGATGCTTTTGGTTAGATATCCTCAATCCGAAATACCTTCAAAGCCTCCCGGAGCATCCCGGCGCCTCCAGCCTCCAGCTGCCAGAGGTTCAGAACGCACGCGACTCGCACACGGGGCCCGGGGCAATGACCCCTGGGCCTGGCCTCTGAACCGGCGTGGGCACTGGGTACATTGGGTACATGCAACATGACAGCACGGTTAGCCGCCACAGTAAACTCCAGCACGGAAAGGGTCCCTTTTCGGAGTGGCAGTGAGGGTGCCTTAGCTGCTTTGGTCTGCACGCTAGTCTCCTAGTCTCCTAGCACCTCGGAAGGCTTCGCCAGATGGCTTTGGCTTGAAGTTCATCCTTCTGAATCTTGCGGAGAAATCTCGGAAGCAACCCGCCCCAGGGTGACCTCCAGCACGAAGCCCCGAACTCGACTCGATGCCTGCCCTGCCCTGCCCTGCCCTGCCCTGCCCTGCCCTTTTCTAGTTGTGTTTCAAGGGTGACAGCTTTTACGGACATGCGGACATGCGCATGAAGTTTTCTGGAGCCAGTGCCTGCGGCGAGAGAGCTCGGCAATAAGCCAATTTTTGTGGGGTCGTGGTTCTACAGTGGAAGGAAGCCAGAAGCTCGTGAGCTGACCCGAGATGATCTAACCTGTTCTGAAAGAGCCCGGTCCGAAAGCCCGAACCCCAGACGGTCAGCAGGAGCTGGATGTGCACAACGAACTGCAACGATCCCCACGACTCGGGTTTGTGCGGTCTCCGCAGCAAGATGCCCGCCCCTATCCTCCTTAGCTCATGATTCTTCCTCCCAGTCTCACAACATGAGTCAGGTTAGACTCTTCTCGCCCATTGCAGGCTAGCACTCTGGTCTCTCGAGATGTGCACTGAACAACCCTCCATCAAGCACAGGGTTAAAGACCTCCCACAGACCTGTGTCTGTATGCAAGACCGTAAAGGTTGGTGGTGGGACGGAGGAAACTGTCGATGAATGTTTGTCTGGCCTTTCGAAGGCATTAAGACTTGGTTGACCAGTCGATTCCCCGACGGACGTGTTCACGAGAGAGGGCATCGGCTGTTTCATCTTTGCCCTCTCCTTGGATTTCCTTCGTCTCCCGACTCACCCTGTCGCTGATACGAACTCCGCACTGTCTCGGCCTCGCTTGCTCCGAAATGAGAAAAGTGCTGCAGCGGATGCTGGGTTTTATTGAACCGTCAAAGGTTGGACTAAGCGGCCAGATTCGGTTACTTTACTCTGGGTTTCTGGACAAGGCTTGTTGAAGGTAAAGCTACTAGTCAAGAGTGTTCAACGTGTGTGCAAGCCTGCTAAGCCCAGTTTTGGCCTCGCCTCTGGACATTCCAAAGGCGCATGTTACTTTCCTTGAAACATGAATTGCCTAAGCATGCTGTACTCTGTGGGCGAACTGGTGGGTTGGGACTCAGCGAACTTTATCCGGCATCCCGGCAACGTGCCGACGCGCGTTTGATTGACCCTTTAGTATCACAAATGCGCAGTAGTGGCCTCGTTTTCAGGATTCGGATGTTGAGGCTTGGCAGTTTGGCTCTGTGAGGCATGTAGGTTACAGCTCCTTGAAAGGAATGGTGGGAAATTTGAGACAACGTGGGGCTCCATTTCTGTGCTGTTGGTGAAGAACGTCTCGAAGCGTGTGGAGCAGCATGCAACAGGACAGGCATCCCCGTTCGAGTTTGTCAGACAACAATGCTTCCAATATGTTTTCATATCTGCATCTCTGTTGATGTCGTGCTCAAAAGTTGCATGCCGTCTGCGCCGCAACGTCTCCCCCGTGTGCTTCCGGCTGCAGATGACAACGATTACTAGTTACAGTAGTCATGCGGCATGTCACACACACACACACACGCACACGCACACGCACACGCACACGCGCACGCACACACACAC